AATGGTAGTAATGGTAGTAATGGTAGTAATGCGGTGTAACTTATTGTACTATGTTATAGTTTCAAAGAATGTCTATTTTTTAAAAGGGTATTTGTTATTACGTAGACTAACGATAAATGAATTAAGTAAGATGGTGTAATATATAAAAAAGGATTGCAAAATTACGGTTATCTTCGATTCTTAATAATCCCCTAAAATTACAGAATTAAGTAATTTGAGAGTATTCCAAAACCAACTTTTTATTTTTTTTTGTCGCGAATAGCACAAAAATGGTGCAATTGATATGTCAATGAAAATATGTATCACAATGAGTCAAAAAAGTTATTTGATTTTCATGTGTACACGCAAAATCTAAAATTTTGCTGCACAATCATATTAATAATAATGATAATAATGATCATCTACTTGTTTTTTTTGTAAAGTCTTTCTTTTCATTAACGTTAATAAATAAATAAAAAAATGCAAGATAAATTCACCCCCTCGTATTTTGAACAAGAGACAGAACCTGTGGTGAATTTTTTTAATTCATCAGAAAACAGTACAGATACAGATACCGATACAGTTACAGTTACAGGAAAAAACCGTAAATATTGTCTGCGTCACCGCCCTGATCTCAAAAAAATGAAAGAAACCACACTCGATGACTTACGAAAGGTACTTGTTTCTAAAAGGTTATTCTTAATATTTAACCCTATCTTACCTTCTTTTATTTATCCACGAACTGAATATCTTATAGCAAGTTGAAAATTTACCTGAATCGGAACATGAAAAGATTATAAAGATTTGGTCGCTTTTTTCAACCGCGACTCCATCCTGTCGTCACCTTATTCTGGAAGGAATTCTAGCCCAGTGTTGCCTTCCTCAACTATCCTTTCTTTCTAACAGGCTTAAAAACATTATTCGCATTGACTTTATAGCCGCCCTTCCCAAAGAGCTTTCCATACATATATTATCATATCTTGATGCAATTTCTTTATGTCGTGCTGCTCAAGTATGTAAATTATGGAGACGTCTTGCTGATGATGAGGTTGTTTGGCATAAATTATGCGAACAACATATTGACAAAAAATGTTCCAAATGTGGTTGGGGTATTCCATCATTGTTAGAGCAAAAGAGAATAAATAGGGCTCTAATATCTAATGAAAGTGATCCTTATCCTGCTTATGCAACTACTACTTGTAGTCTTGACATTCCATATTCTCACATTGAACAATCACAACCATCTTCTCCATCAACTATACCTTCAACTCCAAATACTCCAAATTATGATTCACAAGATGAAGCTCTTGAAATAAGACGTGTTCGCATTTCTGATAAATTGACCGCTTTATTTGGTGATTCATCTCTATTTATGTGTGATAATTCTATGAGAAGACCTTGGAAAGAAGTTTATGCTGAACGACAATGCGTCGAATTCAATTGGAGAAAGGGTCGTTATAATATTAAAGTTTTAAAAGGCCATACTGATGGTATAATGTGTCTTCAATTCGATGATCGTAATAATCGTCTTATCACTGGTTCTTATGATAATACTGTCAGAGTTTGGGATCTTGAAACTGGTGAAGTCATTAGTACGCTGACTGGTCATACACGGTGTGTAAGAACATTGCAATTTGACCGTGCAAAACTCATTACCGGTTCAATGGATCACACTTTAAGGGTATGGAACTATCATACCGATAAATGTATTACTAAACTTGAAGGGCATACGGGTGGAATTTTATCTCTTCATTTTGTTGATTATATTGTTGCGAGTGGTTCCACTGATACCACCATAAAGATTTGGGACTTTTCTTCTCGCAAATGTTTTACTCTGACTGGGCATAGAGAGTGGGTAAATAAAGTTATAATTTTTCAAAAGCTACAACTCCTTTCTTGTTCTGATGATCATACTATACGGATTTGGGATTTAACTTCACAATCATGTACTCGAATTTTTGATGGTCATAATGCACCGGTTCAGTGTATTCAACCAACACTTTTACGCATGGACTTGAATGCGACCTTAACTACCATTGATGAGGATAATTTAATTCCTGTAATAATATCAAGTTCTTTAGATAATGTAATTAAAGTTTGGTCCCTACAAACTGGTGAATGCATTCGTACCTTATTTGGTCATGAAGAAGGTGTTTGGTCGTTGGCAGTTGACAAGCTTAGATTAGTTAGTGGTGCACAAGACGGTACAGTAAAGATTTGGGATAAGGATTCAGGAAATTGTATGCATACTTTAACTGGACATTGTGGTGCTGTTACGTGCGTTGCACTGGGTGACACCAAGATCATTACAGGAGGTGATGATGCAGAAATTAGAATATGGGATTTTAAGAGTCAATAATTAATAATTGATTATATACATTAATCTTTTTATTTATTGATTTTGAAAAAAGAGACATGTAGAGTTTTTCTTATAACAAATATAAAAGCACATACCCCCAATAATTAGAGTATTAGTTTATTGTTCAAACATTTTATGTTTATTAAAGCTAGAATTGGGTAAAAAGCTATTGTTTTATTTTTATTTCTATTTTTATTTCTATTTCTTTTTTTTTTTTTTTTTTTGTTTTGAAAGTATTATATGCTGTCATTATCGGACGTATGTATTGTTATTATGCAACTTTTGTTTTATATTTGATTCTTGACCTCATTTTATGTTTCTAAAACCAAAGTTATCGATACATCCTGGATAAAATCATGGTTGCACTTTCGGGAATTCAACTTTTGATGTAATTTAAATTTTTTTTTTCATCTTTCACTTTGTAAATATACATATGGGTGATGGGACGATCATGTGATTTTGAGAAAATCACAGTTGAAGATCTTCACATGACTAATTTTGCATAGTAAAATAACGAACAAAATTTAAATTTTATACCCTTCACGGGTACCCTTATGTCCTGCAAATCCGGACCTCGAGATCGACCCCCGGAGCAAAGACCTTGTGTAACACAAAACTTGTCCCAATATAAAACCTTTTACCCCTTGCTTCGTCTTCATAGTAATATAATATCGATACGTACATGCGTACGTACGTACGTACAGTACAAAAGATCTATTTATGTAAACTTTAAAGTTTTATGGTACGATATTTTGTCCCGGGGCTTAGTTACAACCAAAAAAAAAAAATTATAAAGCGATGTCAACGAAAAAAAAAAAGAAAAAAAAGGTAGTTTTAACATTTTATGTCTTTATTAAAGATATCTTCTTACTATTATTATTGTTAAAAAATTATAGCGCCTTAAAAAAGATATCATATATTTCTTCTAATTTAATAACAATATCTTTTTTTTTTTCTAAAGGTATTTTATTTAAGTCGATTTGTTGATGAAGATTTCCTATTCGCACTAACCATTGATCTATATGACAATTTATTTCATTTATCTGTTTTTCCATATCGTTAATGATGATAATATTATTATCAACCCGCTTATTATAAGTTTGAATATCATTATTATTAGCAAGCATGTAGGTTGTTTGCTCTGGCATTTTAATGCTGTATTTTCGAGAAACCACAAAAATATGCTTACAAGGTTCTGGATTTCTTAAATATGCTTCACAATTGCAAATTAGGGTTAATTTATCATCTCTGGTTTTTTGAATTGTGTAATCACCCTCACCTTCGGTCGACCTAATGATAAATGTAGATTCATCTAAACGAAAAATAGAACTTTCATCAATACTAGTTGAATTTATTTCAAATCTCCGCATGATTTTTTGGTGAGGACCCATTCTCCCAATTCCCATTTCATATTGAATAATTTCTTCTTGGTAATCGGGCAATATTTTTAGGGCTAATTCATGAATAAGATAATCAATTCGCCGGTTAACACATGTCATAAGGTAGAGATATTTGATTTTTTTGTGGTAAGCCTCTATATAGTTATTTGTATTAATTCCCTGAACTTTATCATGACGATAACATTCCATCCACATTTCTAAATTTATGATATTATATCATTATAGATTATAAAATATCTAATAACAAATTGTAATGTAAAAAAAAAATAAATAAATAAAAAAAAAACCTTTTTTGCATTGATATTGAGAATTAAAATACTGCAATGCAGAAGTGTTTTGCCATCTTTGTTCAAACTGGACTAGAGCAGAATTTACTCTGTTTATATCTTTAGTATGGAGTAGCTGTTCGAGGTCATGATACAAATTATCACGTTTATCTTTTTCTATTTTTTTAGAGATCCACCGGAGCCAAGCGCGTTTAATGTACCACCAGCACAAAAAAACATTTGATGTAGAAAAAACCTCACGAATGGCATTTATTTCTGCATCATCATTGTCTAATATTACATTCACTGGATTCATCCATCCCTCTGATTTTAATGCATGAAGCCATGCCCCAATTGATATGCTATCACTGGATTCTGTTAGTAGCCATGCTAATGGAACACCACGGCCACTATAGGGATGACGGATCAAAATTGTAAATAATGTATATTTATAGCGATTCGTGTTGTGTGTAGAGTCTATGTGAATAATCTAAAAAATAGGTATGTAGTTAAAATCATTATTGAAATAATTAAATTTAAAATTAATGTATAAATTTTATTTTTTAGAACAAATTAACTACGAAGCTAAGAACCGATTTTATATAGTTTTTAATACATATGTTTGAAAAAATTATAATTTTTCAAATAAAAAAAAAGATACCTCGTGATGTTTGCAGTAAAGTTTGAATTGCTATGGGGTGTGGAACCCAAGTTGAAACTTTTGATTACCATCAGGAACTTGAAACAATGAAAGGACAGGGTTATTTAAATTGTTAGGTTTGTTTTTATTTTCTCTTAAAATATCAGCCCATTGTCGAATGCTTTTCATGTCATAATCATCATATCGATACTTCATATGAATTTCCTTATATATAATATTATATATATCTTCGTATGTTAACAATTCGTCTCTGCTTGGAACAATATCACTAGAGGTAAAATAACTAAATATACGATTCATAATTATTATAAAATAAAGATAAAAAAAAAAAAAAAAAGGGAAAGAAAGAAAACCTTTCAGTTACTTCTGTAGGTTTTTTCATTAACTGGCGGATGGCTGAGAGAGATAGTCCTTGCCGTGCAAATTTTTTAATTTCAGTAATGATTTCTTCTAATTTTCTTAAATATTTAACATCAGCACGACTACCAGGCACATGCCCATTATGCTTATACCAATAATGTATTACAACTACTTCAGGAAAATTGGTCAGATTATAATGAACTCGTAAGGTACAATCACAACTGACTTTTTTGGATTCTTTTTGAATTTGTCGTTTTTTGTTTGAATTTCCTCCTTCTACACGGTCATTTCGTATACGTTTATTACCTGCGCGTGAGCAACAATAGTATTCTGACCAAGAACCTTTTTCATTTTTATTTATATAAGTTCCATGTTTTTTTATAAAATTAATGTTTTTAGACTTTTCTTCTTCTTTTATCCAATCATGATAGGCAAGAAGAGGTAATGCAAATTTAATAAAATCATCTTTTTCTTCAAGAACGTATAATAATCATGTATTTGAAGAGGTTTGGGCATGATTAATGAGTGTATTTATGATTTCTTGTGTTCTAATATTACTGTCATTAGGTTCAGCTTCAATTACTTCTTGTTGCGAAGTTTTTATAACTGGGTTGTCACTGTTATTCATCATAGCAAGATCAGAATTATTTGTTACTATTTGTGGGTCGATATTGTCTTTCATTTTTTTGTAATTTGTGTTTTTTTTTTTTTTTTGATTTGAATGTACTTTGAAATATTAACAAAATTCAAAGCAAAACGATGAACTTTATATAAGGTGTATGATTTTTATAGAATTTGACAAACCGATTAGCAATAATTAATAAATTTTAGATGATTTAAGGTAAGCGAATGAAACTTCGAGCTATTAATACTCAAATTTGAGATATTTTTTATTAACATGCCTTTTTTATAATATTCATAAAATTCTCTATTTTATTTAATTTATCCTTTTAAAATCAAGAAAGAATTATGAAGTCTCATTGTAATGGTAGGCTTGGGCTTTAGAACGGGAAGTTTTTAGCCTTTTTTTTTCTTTTTCTTGTTTAATTTTACTCATTTCGATGGTTCTTTTTTTTAACTTCTTTTTTTGCTGTATGAATTCGAAGATTACTAGTTTTATTTTAAATTTTCACATTCTTTCACATTTTTTGCATAGCCTCTGGTACAGTCTATCTTTTTTTAGTGTTATTATATCTCTGTAACTTAGACTGACTATGAATTTCATTAGTTTACTTATTTGGCTAGTCTGAACAATTGGCGTTAGAACACAGAAGCAAGATTATACACACTGCGATTTCTAGATCACAATAACAATGCAAGAACCAAATTCATTATGTTTTAAGTTGACATCGGGCTAAAGTGGCTTTTACCGAAATTAGCTCCTGAATTAGATCATCTTGCACGCATTAACTAGTAATTCTAAGCAGATGTAATTTTTTTAGGTGCATAAAGTTACAACTTTAGGCAGATGTTAACTTCAGGCATGACATAAGTATATTTTTCTTTTTTGAATTTATTTCATAGTTTTTTTTTTATTTTTCATGCTTGACTATGAGTGAAATTACAGAATTATGTGCTACAGTAAAACCTCCATAAGTGCACGCCCTTGGGACCAAATTTTAACAGCGTGCACTTAGTGAACTACAAGAAAAAGTGCATTTATGAAAGTTATATGTATATTTAGGCCCAAATTTGAGTATGCATTTAGAGAGGGTTTCACTGTAGTTTAATGTTGCATACGGGATGTTAAAATTAGATCAAAGTTGAGAATTAATCGAACAAGATAGAATACTCGAAAACAGAATAGTATAGTACAAGTTCAAAAGATTCATCATAAACGACACTGTTTGCTTTTATGTTAAAGATTCGATAAGTTCTTTATATATCTAGTTTCGAATTTTTTTACTTTCAAAAGGACAAACGATTAAAGTATGATTGAATACAAAACTATGAGATTTTAGTTTTATATTAAACTATTGTATCGCATTGATTATGTCTCTAGTTAAAATACTTGAGTGAAAGCTATAGGAGTTCTATTAATTGTAAGCAGCTCTTTTTAAAGTTTTAGAATGCGTATGAATTTGAAATTTTTCTAGTTCGTAACATAAAATATACCCGTGCATTTTATAAAGGTTTTTGGTTGAATATTTGTTTTAGATTCCAGGTTTTTCAATCAGTGTGGTATGTTAAAACTTATTGTTTAAAGAAATTAATAAATCTTTTGTAACATATTTAAAGTCAATTATAAGTCGATTAAATAAAATTTAATACTTGTGCTTATTATAATTTAATATATTATACCGTTTAGAAACTTTAACAGCGGATTATTGCATACAATATTACCATCTTGTTATATTTAAATATTTTTAAGATACACGGACCTTAGAGATAGCAAAGATACTTAAAATTTTGTTTGCAAAGAGTTTTTCTAGTACGTAAATAATTCAATTTTATAATTGACCAATCACAAGAAGGGGATCGGCGGCTCTGGATGTCGATTCCTAGGTCCGGATTTGCAGGACATAAGGGTACCCACTTTTCACTAATGTATCTAACAAAATAAAAGTATTTTTAGAAAAATATGACTCATAAATAAATTATTATTGTAAAATCTCAAAATCTGATTGGTTGGCCCATCGCCACCTTTTGCTGTGGGACCCCCCAATACGTATTAAATTAAAGCTTCATATTCGAATAAATAATTATCTGACGAATAGTGCGAATAAACAAATTTATTCGAATATTTTGTATTCCCCATCACGTAAAACCGATTATATGTTATTCGAGTAAAATAGATAATGCTTATATTAATCATTCCGGCGAATATTCGAATTTTTGCTGATCCGAATAATGATAAGAAATTATATTTTTATTATATATTAAGTTCTAGTGTTGGACAATAAAATATTTAACTAAATATAAAAGATTTGTTTGTTACAATAAATATGAACGTATTAAAAATAAATTGTTATGTATTAGACCCTAAATCTATCTACAACAATTTAATATAATTAAATATAAAAAATTTACGTACGTACGTACGTACATACGTTCAATAGAGCAAAGCAATAGACTATAATGAATAGAATTTACAATAGGACAGACAATATGTAGAATACCAACAGAGTTAAACCCGATTACAACATATGAAGAATTATTCACACACCTTGTACAAGGTTACATAGCGCGAATCACGTACGTATGTACAGTACGTAATCGATTCTCAATTTAGGTATAGTGAAAAGCATAAGGTATACCCATATTAGTTACGTAATAAAATTTTTACATCTTTTGATATCGATATATTTATTGTTAATTTTTCATTACGTACGTACGTACGTACGTACGTAGAAGTAAATTGATACATTCATAATATCATAAATACATATAATTATGCCGATTAATAATTACGTTTTTTTGAGGAAAAAAAAGATTACATCGATATAAATACGTATTATTAAATAATAACCTACCGTACCCGGTGCAGGACCCGTAAAAGTTTGTTAATATAGAAGATCCGAGTGCATCTATTTGTTACATAATGTTCATTGATGATCCAAGCATGTTTGACCAATCAAAATTAATCACGGATTAGCATACATGTTATTAAAAATTCGCCATATGGGCGGATTTTTACAATACCTGAATTTGCATGTGATGTTCGTGTTACTTAAAAATAGATTAGCCAAAAAAAAATTTGTATAATCAAAACAATAATATTGGTTATTTTTACGCGTAGGACCCTTTAGTATTGTTACTCAGTAGTACCTATTCTTGGTTCTTTGAACTGTGAATCTTGTTGAATATAAATATAAAAATTTCAAGCCGCAAGATTAAGAAATAAAGCCTGGGGCTTTGTAAAAGCGAACAATACTTTTATATTGTGCTAAATAAATCAGCCAATTAACGTATTACCGTGAATTTAATATACAATAATTTTAATTTGATTTATCTAATTGGTAAATTTTTTTTTAAATATCAAAATTACAAAATTCGCCTATATATATTATTTATGTTAAACTTTTATTGGCCAAAAATAAGAGTAAATCTACGGCACCTACTAGTTCACTCTAATAGTCACGTGATATTATATCTACAGCAATGATCAATACAATATAAGCATCCCAAAATTTTTAATGTGAATTTTAAATTGTTTATGACTTTAAACAAAAATATTTTAAAAAACAGCCAATCATATTTAATAAACTTATTTATTTTAATTTTACAAAGCTATTGAATTATAATAAAAGTTGATTAAATTTGATTAAATAAATATCAAAATACTGTATTTTGTTTTAAGTTTTTAAGTTTATTAAAATATTAGTTATACAAAATTTTTGTAATGATTTAGTAAAAATAATATGTAATTAAATAATTAAATTTACCAAATGTTTTTATTATTTTAATTTAAATAAAAATAAAAAAGTTTATTAAATTTAGCAGTTATTTTTATTTAAAGTTTACAAAAAAATTTTTTTTTTTTATTATTATAATGCTATAGTAGAAACTTTATTACAAATAGAAAAATAATTCTAAATCTAAAGATTTTTAACTATATTTGTATTATATAAGGCATTCAATGTGACATTATACTCTTTATTTCCTATAAAATGCTATAATTAATTATTTCAAATTAATTTCTAGCTAGGATAGGTTGAAGGAGACCTAAGATAATAGTCATGGCATTAAGTAAAGCATGCAGTTAAAGCATATTCTTATAAGAGCCATTTATTAATAAAGAGATTAATATCTAAAGATTGTATTGTAATTTGAGAATTATTTGAAGAAATAAATGTATTTAGAAAGTAAAATTTTGTATGTTTAGCTTTGGCAGTGATATTTAGAGAAAGTTCCCATTTACAAAAATTTAAAAATAGTAGTTATAATAAAATATTTATAAATTTTTAAACAAAAATAATTTCAAAAAAAAAACAACTCTTTTTAATAATCTTCTAGTCAACAACAACAAAAACTAAACTATAGTAAAACAATATAAAAAACAATAAAATAAATATTAAACTTGATCTTATAGATAGAAGCAGTTTGTTATTAATAAAGCCTAAACATTTAGACATAATGCATTAAAAAGCAGATATTAAAAAGATAAATAGTTTTTTTTAGAATCAAGTTTGTTTTTTAACAGATTTTTAAAATATTTAGTATTTAAACTAGAAAGTTTATTCTGAGAACAAGTCTGTAAAAGTAGCTAATATGCACTCTCAAGTTAGTAAAAATAAAGAAGCTAAATTATATAAAGGTAGTGTCATTTATTACTTGATTTTTTTTTATCAGAAGCTTACCCCACTCTTTCTCTTAATATATATTTTGATTAGATCTTTATATATAATTTTAAATTTTTTACTACCTTCTCTTCTAAAAAATTATTTAATTTTTGTCATATTCTTAACTATAAAACTTACAAAAAGAATCTCATATATTCTTGTTAGCCTATTACTTTTTTTCAAAAAATTTTTGTAAAAAGTAGATATTTTAGCTTACTTTCTCCAAACAATTGACAATCTTTTTACTAAAATAGTTAACATTGTTTATCTTCTAAATTAAATGAAATATTACTAGAAAAAAC